AAATTCAGGCCTCCAAACCTCTAATGACTTCTGCCCCTCTAGATCTAATGACTTCTGCCCCTCTAGATTTTGAAACCCGTGCCACATTCTGTAGGATTAATCTAAACCAAGCAAACTCCTGGTCCAGATCAGTGATGGGTTCCGGGCGGTACTGCCAAGTATGGGCATACCGGTGGCAGCTGGAAGCAGCAGTCACCGTACCAGAATGGTATTTTGTTGGGCCTACCTGCCCGCCCGTGTTCCTTACTTCTTTTTGAGGGAAATGGGCCAATTGTGTATGTTGCACACAGCGTACATCACCTGTGCAACTTTGCCAAACAGCTGGGGCATCGCAGGATGGTGGCGTGTGCATGCGTGCACAGCGCACATGCTCGAGGTGGACGTCCGGCCCAGTCACAGTGTACTGGTTGTGACAGGATCCAGAACTCACCACTGGTCCAGACAAAAAAAACTTTTGTTAATTGACTTTGAATTCTGCTCATTCACATCCAGCAAAGTCTTTCAAGGGAGGATTTATGGTCACAAACCTTATCTGGCTTGGAGAGCTGACAGGCCAATATCTGCAAAACTTGGCAAGGAGTCTTGGAGAGTCACGAACCAATTAAGTGAACTAATTGTCTCTTGCAAACTCTCATCCCCTTCGCTCCTCTTTTATTTTCTCTGGGAGGGGTCATTCATCGTCCACCTGTGGCCTTTCTCCCAAATTGACCCCTGTTCTTTAGCTGTTCCCTTTATCTGGCAACTCTGCCCCTGCACACACTGGGAACAGGCGCCAGCTGATAACTGACATACGGCCCTGGCCTCTCTGCCTCCAACACAGAGCCCTCATCAGAGCCTTCCCCAGACTCCAGGACTGGCCCATGTTCCTCCCCAACCTCCTCACTGTCCGAATCTGCTGCCAGCTCTGCAGGCCACTGGCAGGCCACAACACATGGTTCCTCTGACCTCCATCATTAAACCCCCTCAAATACATACTCAGGAAGGAGCTACGGACCCTCTGGATTCTCTGATAGCTGTATTAAATGCAGCCCATGTTCTAGATACATTATGCAAGATATTTAAAAACGAAAGAAAATCATACACAACAAAGCCTACTTTTGTATTGTTTTTACTCCACATAGGCATAAAAAGTGTTGCTTTCTACCATCTTCCATAAAACATAATTTACAAATATACCAGTGCAGTTTTGTATGATTTATGAGCTAAGCACTAGTTTGAGGGTTCTTTTTGACCTTTGACTAGAAATCCATAAAATGCAATATAGCGTAAACTGAGGATAATTAACACTAGTAGGCTCTGGGCATTACTACTGTATGTACTGCATAAATCTATTTATGTTCTTCATGGTTAATTTCTTCTAAGCCAGCATTTATCAATCTGGGCAACCTAAAAGTCATGTGGATTTCAACTTCCAGGATTCCCCAGCCAGTATGACTGACTTTGGAATTCTGGGAGATGAAGTCCACACATCTTCAAGTTGTCAAGCTCTAGAAACATCTGCTTTAAGCCCAATTTTATGATGGCATAGTTCACACTAATATATAGCAGAATCAGAGTCAGGAACGTCTATCTAACATATTAGTGGATGATCAGTGTAGCTACCAGTCAGGGGTGGGTTCTGACAGTCACTACTGCTTGTGATGCCCCGCGCGCATGCACAGTTCAATAAAAATTGCTTTGCACTTGTGCAGAAGCAAAAAACAAGATGGCGGCGCCTACGGTATTGCCCGGAGAAATGTTTGGGGGCGTGGCAGGCCTGGGTCACTGCCCATTCCAGGGGCCCAGGCCACCAAACCACTACCAATTCAGCTGAACTGGTCCAAATGGGTAGGAACCCACCACTGCTATCAGTTGAGTCTCTAACAACTAAATGTACAGTTTTTCTAAAGAAATAGTTCTCTTCCTGACTCATCTTTTTCTGTATCCTGGTGTGTTCGCAAAAATCACTGTGCTTACTGGAATGAAGATGCAATTAAATCTTACAGCCCCTTGCTAGATGTGTTCATCAGATCTCAGCAGTCCCCAGTTTTCAAGTTGTTTTACTGCCAGATTCAAAGTAAATAGTTTCCTTTCTCACGTCTGTTTGCCTTTCGCATGCATCTGACACAACAAATCCTAAACGTTCCTGAAAGTGACAGTGGCATCATTTGATGCCCCTAGCCACCCAACCACAAACACATATTTATTCATATTAATATTTTAATCTCTTAGATAGAGCAGTGTAGTGGCCCAGTGGTGAAGACGCTTGCCTCCCACTCAGAAGGTTGAGAGTTCAATCCTAAGTAGCGGAAGATGATTCTCTTTTAGGTCGCAAATTAAAAATATGTACTGCAAACTCCACATAGGCATCAGGAAAGGCATCCGGCCAATAAACACTGAGTTCCATCCAGTTACCCTGATTCTACCCTGAATTATTCTACCCTGATTCTACCCTGAATTAACAGGATCAGGAAAAGAGGGGGGGATTTTTTTAAAAGGTAAAAACATCATTCATCGATGCATTTTTGTACTAGGTATAAAATGGATGGATGCATTTAATAGTTAAAATGAGGGAGACAATTACTGGCATCGTAGAAATATAGCCAACCTTAACCACAACCTCTTAGTGCTCTCTCCAGAAGGGGAGGTGGGTGAGTTAAAGAAATGGTCAGAGCCCTTCACCTCGACATATGTTCCATATACAAAAAGAGCAGAGCTTCAGTTGTGCAGTTGTGGCTGCCATCTTGACTTTTTTTTAACCTTCTCCTCATGGACACCCTGTCTTTTGAACAAGTTTTCTTCATGAATTATATCCCAAGCTATTGAGATGCCCTTTATTAAAAAGCAGAATTAGTTTCTCACACCCAAATGTCAGGGTATAGCTGTAATTATACATGCACTTAACCGGGAATAACTCCCATCAAAATTAATGGCCCTTCTGTAAAAATGTTTATAAGAATAGATCAAGTAGTGTCTTATTTTTTAAAATGAAACTACACTTTCAGACCAAAGCAGAGTCTCTTTTAAAAAATTATGGAGATTTTTATCCTTATCATCTCAGTTTATGAAAGACAGAATAGCAATAGCTATTGGGAAGGGAAGGTTGAAATAAGGTTATCTTTTAAATTATGTTTTTTTTAATTAATGCCCCAATTAATTCATTCAGACAAAACTATAGCCCACTGAATATTGCCATATAATTCCCATAATATCTGACCTTCAGCAGTGCTGACAGCTATGGGAAGCAAATAGTATTGGAAGAATTACAGATTTCCTAAGCTTCTGATGTGCTTCACAGCATCCATTTATATTTTCCCCCATCCTCCCTCTAAGGTTACATTATTCCCTTCTTTCCAATCCCATAAATCATAGGTTCATTTTTTTTTCTTTTTTGTCAGCAAAAGGTTCATTAGTCACTAATAAATACAATTATTCTTTATTATAATTTTGTCTTTGCTTTTCCTTTTTTTTCTTTCTCCTCTGTATTTCTTTCTTTGTACTTTTTTTCTCCGCTTATAACTTTTCTTTATTTTCCATACTTTTCTCTTTCAAAAATTGCATTGCTTTAATTCTTTTAAATATTTTAAATAAACATGCACACACACACACACACACACACAAACACACACAAACACACACACACATGTCTTTCTGTCTGCCTGCCTATCTGTCTGTCTAACTATCTAGTATCTAGCTCTCTAGCTATCTAATCTACAATTAGAACAATTAATCAGTGGAACAACTTGGCTCCAGAAGTTGTGAATGCTCCAACATTGGCAGTTTTAAAGAAGTTGTTGGATAACCATTTGTCTGAAATGGTGTAGGGTTTCCTGGCTAAGCAGGGGGGGTTGAACTAGAAGACCTCCAAGGTCCCTTCTAACTCTGTTATTCTAATTCTATTCTACGTATCTCTCTCTCTCTCTCTCTCTCTCTCTCTCTCTCTCTCTCTCTCTCTCTCTCTCT